CAGTACAAGTGTAATAGGTTAGAGGTCCAAGAACAAAATCTGCTGCTGCCATCCCAAATGAAGCAAGCAGAAGTGACAGTAATGCCAAAATAATTTGAACTTACCCACACATTTCCCAGACAAAGAGAACCTGCTGCGTGACTTTAATGTCATATTCTGAAAACAATCATGCTCATTGCTCTTATGTGGGGCTTTCATACTAGAACACATAACACCTGCGTCTTTGTCAATAATACAACAGACAGAACAGAACAGTTCAAGTGGCATTAGCTAGCATAAGGGCTATTTGGGCTTTTTTGTAGTTACTGTGAGCATAGGAACAATTGATGCTGTTTAAACATCAGTCTCATCCACCTGATAGTAAATGAACAATAGTTATGGAATAGGGAGATATTTAAAGGATCTCTACGCTACTCATTAAAAGCTAAATCAGCAAGTTGAGAGTTGTAATGATTAAGATTCTGAACACAGCTATAGAAAGCAATACAGCCTTCATGACAGTCATCATATAGCCAAATGATAAATATGGAGTCTAATAACTACAAATACAAGAACTTAAAATAAACATTGTTTTACAGAAGATATAGAGCATGACAGCCAATTCACTCAATGCGCACAATTAGCTGAATCAACTCTACAGTGACTGAAATGTGCACTCAGTAACAGCAATTAGACAAAGGGAAACAATCCTCCCAATACTATGCACTGGCACGAGAACAGCAGTGGCCCATTCTCTGAAGTTCTGTGATGACAATGCCCTCCTCCCTCTCCCACACCAATGCATGTCACTAACACTAAGTACTCCCATATATACTATCCCACAAGGACCTCATTCAGCACTTACTAAGCTTCAGGAAATGCTAATGTCCTCTTGCCTCTGTGCTCAATGAGGTTAATGGAGCCTTTTTGATATCAATGGGTGGGCACTAGCTGGAGACCTGAAGTAGGATGCTAAGAAACCCAAATCCTTAAACTGACAGTTAGCTTGCGTGTACCACTATTGTCTCCTCTTTGCCAAACAGAATACATTTCAAAATCATTGGAAAACTGGGGTTAACATTTTGCATAAGCACTTCAGTTATTAACTGTCTCACATTAACAATCAACTAGGCTAACATAACAAACAATTCTTGTTACTCAAACTGGCGTCATTGTAATGAGCTCCAAATTAATCTCATCCGCACACAATCACTAATCTTGTTTTGTGCCAACTGAATTTTTAATCAGAACCGAGTGAATCATAGGTTGTTTTTAAAATCCATTTCTAATACTTGTTATCCAAAATGAATAAACACTAGAGCAGGGAAGAAGCTTTTTATTTACATTGAGAGAAGCTGATCTTATTTATGCATACTATACACAAGTATCAAATGCATGCGACAGTTGAGTACATCGTTAATGAAAATAAAAAAACAAGTCTGTTTCTAGCGTGAATAGCATCATCAACCTGAAGAATTTAGCCCTCTGACTGTAACAAACTGTATTATAAAAAAAAAAAACCAACCCAAAATATAAGGAACAGTTGCCCCTCTGTTAAGTTGTTCCTCGATGCCTACATCATTCTAGAATAAGATCAGAATGCGCACAATCAGACCCTGTGACCAGAGGAGCAAGTACTTCTGGTAAGGCATTTAAACAAGCATGTATTTTGCAGTGCTAAACTTGAGACTCAACGTGAGTTTCACACTGAAGTGACTTATAATCTTTGTGCAAGACACAGAAGCAAAACTGAGTTTCAATGAGCATTTTCAACTTGATTCTGTGATTGCAATACCAATTTAACAAAGCAGTTGATTAGCTCTGCTTATTAAAAAAGGAGCACTCAATGTATCACCCAGTGCGGAAACACTGGCCCAGCTATTTAGGAATTCTTCAGGAAAAAAAAAACACAAAACCAAACCATAGTATGAAGTCTTCACCTACAGCATCTACTTTTTAAAATGCAGTATATATGGAATCTTGTTTTAGCTGTCTGCCTATAAACTGCTTAACTGAATACCTGTTAGCATGCTTGGTGAAAACCTAACTCGAAGGTCTGCCCATGGCCATGGAAACTGAAGGAGTGACTAAAGCCATCTGCAGCACAGCCATTCAAATGTCTTCAGGGAACTCTACCAACAGCCTCTATTAAAGCCACGTAAGATTGAGGAATCTGGAGTACCTGGTTCTCATTTCAAGCTAAGCATAATACCTGACTCAAGCCATATAAGTGTGTGATGACTTCTGCTTGGAAAACAAGACATTCAGGCAGATGAGAGCAGTGCAGGAAGGCTCAACATCAGAATTCCCACAGATCCAGCTGTACATACTACTTACTTAAAGACTGCACTCATTTAATGCCATCTACATGCTTTTGTGCATGGTAGATTTTGTTTTGATTGCCAGGAACCATTGCATCAAAAGTATCGGAAGATTGCTCAAGATTAAGAGCACTAAATTGCGTTCAACATGCTAATCTATTTTTATTTATATTTAGTAGAAAGACATGGTAGTACATAAAAGAATCCTGTTAATATCTTAGAATTCAATTAAAATTATCTTCATTAAACAGCTCTGAGATTTGTGGAAAAAAGGGACTTATTCAAATATTTATCATAATTGTTAACATAACATTTTGAAGAAAAACTCTGCAAACCATGCTGAATGCTGAAAGGCAAATGCAAAAGCAAAAATACTCCATATAGACCACAGCTGCAAGGTAGAGATAATGCGCTCCGATAACATCAGGATGGACTGCAAAAGAATGACCAAGAACCTTATCAAAAAGGTTACATTTACATAGTGAATACTATAGTAAGATATAATGACCAAAAGAATGCTGTTGACTTGCAAATTTCCTTTTTGGTTTCTTTTTAATTAATTTTAAAATAGGCTGGTTCATATATCATCACCTATCAAGGAGCAAATGGCTCTTCAAGACACTATCCAACAAAGAGGATGGGAAGTCTGTTCTGTGCTTCGGCAGGGGAAAAACAACACTCCCAAAAGGAGCATCATTAATGAACAATGTAAGAAAGAGAGAAAGAAAACTAAAGTTTTTATCGTTGCTAATGACTTCCTTTCACATGAGAAATATGGCACCGTATCACTCTCAGCAAGCTTCTCCATCTGAATAGCATTTCTGCAAGATGCCCCAAATTGTCTTTATTTAATATCACAGTTTCTATTTGTTATTAATTTCAGTTTTTCAGTACATTACAAAGTGCTCCTCTTCCTTTAACATGAAGTGTAGGAAGCGGTTGCTAGAATGAATACTTGTTAGGAAGTTTTAAGACTGTGAAAAAAAAAACATAAAAAGGGGAGAATAGAAGAAGTAGTAAATAAAAGTGTAAAAATAATTCTAGGATTATCATATAAAGAAAAACCTTTCCTATAAATGACTAACACATAACTCTTCAGCAGCAGCCTGCCTCCTTCCCAAAAGAGCCTGCAAGCTTAACAGCACAGTGACTGCGCAAAGAAGACATTCACCTTTTAAAACTTCTGCTAGGCATGCTAAAAGTAATTATTAAAACTAATTATTTTAAGATTGTGTAGCGTCTTAATACAACTTACTGTGACGTGAATAAAGCTAACACCAAAAAAGAACACATCTGTCACATCACATGTGAAGGACGTCTTCAACTCCGTGGCCACTGCCTTGTGTTCATCCACCATGACACATGTACCCCAGCACTGAACAGTACAGCATGACAGCCTCTACCTTGCTTTGCGGAGCTCTGGAGTCATGCTCATAAAACACACGAGGCTGCAGGAGAGGACTGTGTAAAGAGCCTAGCAAGGCCCTGCACCAGGAGAAGTTCAGTTAAGGAACATTTCCCAGGTGCACGTTTGTGCCAGTGACTCCCATATACCCTTACAGGCACCCGACAAAATGAAATATTAAGTGTCCATTGATTTTTGGTCAATTTTCTAATAAACGCTGAAAGTACAGAGGAAGTGACCAAGCAGGAATTACAGTAGAGCTCTCTGGCAAAGGCATACTTTTCTGACACAGCCACTAAACTCTGCAACATAACTACAAGCACTGCAGACTTACTGGAAAAAGAAAACGTGCCCAAATCCTATTGACAAACGATACTGTCAACTCAGAAACAAGGCTTCAGATCTGCAAAGGCATCAGAATAGAACCCAAAGAGAGGGGGAGAGTAAAAGAGAAAAACACTTTGGGTTTCAAAATACCTTAATATGGCTTTAGCAACTTCTGAGAAGGAGAAGTATTTTAAAAGCATTAATAGCTTTTTATTAGACAAGGTTGGACAGGGCTTTGAGCAACCTGGTCCAGTGGAAGGTGCCTCTGCTCAAGGCAGGAAGGTTGGAACTGGATGAGCTTTAAGGCTCCTTCCAACCCAAATCATTCTGTGATTCTATGATTCTTCAAACCAGGCTTTACTACTTGAGGCTAATTTTGAATAGGCAACAAAATGCTTGGTTTCAGGTTGTATTCTTCTTTTCCACAGTAATAAGGCTGTGTAAAAATATTTTATTGCTAATTCCTGACCCTCCCACCTTTTAGAAGGGCATTTCTTTGTCTTGATAGTAACACTAACACATATGAGCAGCTACCTTTCTTTGATGCAGTGGTTCCAACAACATACAACCTGGCTCTATCCTTCCTCACAGGAAAACAGAAATCAGCATCCCTGCACACAATTATGGTACTTTCTAAATGCTTTTTAAAGACACAATTAATAATCCTTTCTGACAAGACAGACCTTTTAAGATGGTCAAATATTAAACAGACACATTCTTAAAGATACTCTGAATAGTTATTGTAAATGTCATCTTGATTAAAATACATATTAAAAAAACAACCCACATTTATGAATTCAACTTTAAATCACATTAGAAGACAAAGTGTTTATACTCGCATAACAATGAGAACAAAGGTGGGTTTTTCTCTTTATTCTGCATTGTTAGAAAATTCCTACTGCTGAAGCTATTTTAAAAAGCCAAGTCTCCTTGCACAGTATAAGGCTCTCAAACAGTGAAGTACTTACATGCAAGGCAGAAGGATCAGGCAAAAATTCAGCATCCTCTCCAAAGATAAAATCTGGTGGCAGGTCAGGATAGTGAGCATTGAAAATTATATCCCCTGAAAAGTAATAAATGAATACATTGTTTGCATTTTTATGTATCTGCTTATAAATACATAAAATATTGTACATATGATACACATTTTCATATAAAATTTGATAGCTACATTAAATATATTTCATGTATATGTCCATATATTTTACAAAACTTCACAGGCAAGATAAGCATCAGATGTTTTGGGGGATGAAGTCAAATTCCTGAGGCACAGCTTCTTCCTCCTCTGCAAGCAATGAAACATGAAATACATTATTGCTTCATATCTCAAATGGCAATTCAAACACTACTGAGGGTTGCCTCAAACCATCAACTTAGAAAAGTAATCTTGTTTTCAAGAAGTGCCACATTTAGATTGCTGTGCTTGGCATATTAACTTAAAGTCAAATGCAAACTACTAAGATTGGAATTTTCAAAATACTGAAGCTTTCAAAACTTAGTAGCACTTACTCCTTAGTCTCCTTGCCACCCCCAACTCTTAGAAGGAAGAACATGCAGTTCAATAGGAACCATTCCAACTATCCAAATTCAGGCCAAGAGAAATGCAGTATTATGCATCTAAATGGAAAGACTAAAATTAACTAAAACCGTAAAACTTCATCACAGCTTGGCACTGAGTTCTCATCTTGCCAGTGTCACAAGATATGCAGTTAATTACTGAGGTGACAGTGCAATGAAATTTGGGCTGTGTTATTTCACTAGTAAACATACTTCAGAGTTCATATAGGTTGAGGTGGTCATCTGCATGTGAGGTCTTTAAAAAAACCCAGCCATAATCACTCTTTCTTCTTTATGAAGATATGACAACATAACTCCGAGCTTTTACATAAAGCATATTTGTGATGTAGCAAGCATTAGAAGAAAGAAGTCAGTGCCTACACAAGACATTCAAGGTGACAATTTTAATTGCTAATATTTTGTAAACTTATCCTGGCTCTTGCTGGAAGCAAGGATGCTGTAAAGATTAATTTGCAGAGGATAAGGGCTCACCACCAAGAAGCCAACAGCCAGGCTGCAGTAGGTATGCTCTACAGTATTACTCTAAATCATAAACTCGCTGATCACAGGACTCAGTAGAACACAGTGTAGGTTTATCCTGTCCACACTCCTTCCTTTCACAACTGTCAGGAGCACATATAAGTATGGGACACGGCAAATAACAGAAGTCTGCCAGTTAAAATACCCAACACAGTCAACGAAATCAATCTTTCATTTCATTTCAAAGAAGAACAAAACAGGCACCAACACCTGCATAAACTTGCAATAAGAAAGGCACCTTATTAAGAGAAAATAATTACTAGAGTGCCCAAACCTTAATACAGCAACAAAATTCAGAAAGTTGACATTTATTAGGCTGGATAGTTCCTATGCCACCATAACTCAATCCTTTTCTTCATATTTACTATAATTAAAAAGTTGTGTATCGCTTCTTGCAACAACCTCACCAATTTCTACATCCACAGCAGGCAACTCTTGAGGTTATGTGTTGAAGGAGATGGCACCTTTATACAGTCTTTGACTGATCTTTGCTTAGATAAAGGTGTGTTAGGAATAACTCAGAACACAGCACAATGAAAAAGACTTCGGTAACCCTGTGCTACTCGGAAGGAAAGAACTGTATCTGTGGTCTTACCATATTCTTATGTGATGCTAAGTAACTCATTTAACACACAGTTTTCGTATTGCAGTTGCTAGTTGCATGCTTTTCATTCTCTGCATTCCTGTTTTAACAGAGCTGATGAAACAGTGCACACAGCTACAGCTCTGCTCACCAGGAGCTGCACTCCAACTACACAGACACTACAAAAGACTGCCCAGAGTAAAAAAAGGCTCAAAATAATTGCATATTTTTCATGTTATAACTCCATATTTGATTAGCGAGAATCTGTTATAGAACCTTAGATCATGAGGTGGCTCCAAGACTCTTCTAAGAGTATTCAAGTCTGCAAGCTCCACAGTAACAGGTGAACTTCAGCAAAACTGCGACAGTAGGTGCGATGTGAAAGTTCAAGCAGGTACAAACTTGTTTCCTCCCAGTGTTTTCGGTTCTACAGCATGAACTGAATTCACAGCAGCCCCCAGCACATCATCCCATGCACGGGTGCAGTATGACAGTAAACTGAAATTGGCATTATTAGTTTAAAATGCTAAGGGGTAAACTTTCACAACTTGAGGTTTAGGTCAGCTGCCTATCTATGCAGTGATTCCTGCCGTGGAACCAGGATCAATACCTAAGGACAGGACCCTCTCTTACCACTCAGGTGTGATGCATGGTCATGCTGAAGTTAGGCACATCACGATTGCAGCTGGTCAAGCCAATCTACTACCTCTCTTACATGCCCATAGTTGTTCTTTATTACTTTCTGTCACACTCCTTCTCCTACCAAGTGGTATATCATTCCTTATTCACAGTGAATGACTAACTACACAGGTATTTTGGTTTGAGAAGTTTTCACCATCTACTGCCATCACAGAGGTACTCACTACAAGGATCAGAATCCAGAGTCAAAATTAACATTGTGATATTTTATTTTCTGTTACTGTTACTTATAATTGCTGTCATTGCTTCTACCAGCCTAGGATAAACATGCCTCAAATCCAAACTCCCAAGTCCCTTTAGTAAAAGTAATTTTGAAACCCATGTGTATCTCAAGATTATTTTTCCCTATAGTCATCTTCCAAAACACTACACAGTACATGGCTGAAGGGTTCTCCAGGTTTCAAAATAAGCAAAACTATTATTTCAGTGCCTGTTGATCATAAAATAACAAAACACTAGCGCTGAGACATACTCAAAACATTTTACAACCCCATGGAACCAATCAAATCATGCTGTTGTCCTTATTTTCTAAGTAAACCAGAAACACAACACCCTCTTCCTACAGTACCACAGGTTTTTATCCAAATGTAAACCCTAATTTATTCTGCTACAATCAAACCTCACACAGGCTGGGTGACATTAAAGACAAAAAAGATCACAACCAAATGGCATTTCCACTTCAATGTAAACAGTTAGAAAAAAGCTGTGCTTTCTATCATCAGTGGTTTTCATTCTGGCAGTTAAATACTGCAACTTACTACTGAAGATGTAACCTTAGAACATTTTTTTCCACTGACTTAAAAAAGGAAAAATGCATCCCCTTGGTCAAATCTTATTCTAGTAAGTCTCGCTTATGCCATGAATCCAAAAGCGTTCAGCTAGTTGGTAAAGGAAAGAAAAAAAACCTTTTTCTGAGCCATGTTAGACATTCACCCACTTGATCCCCGGCCTCTCTATCTTTTCTGTTCCATGCTCTCCTCTTCTACATAGTTTCTCCCATGTCTTGCTTATTTTACCATACTAGGCCAGAAAAAGCAACACCTCTGACTCTCAGAAGCTTGGGTACTAAGGAATGAGTTTGCTCTATTCACAACCACAAGCATGAGATATTTTCATAAGTTATATATTCTCCACAAAAATACACCATTCAAAATCAGACTAAAGAAAGGGAAACAATCCTAAATCTGAATTTTATTCTTGTTAAATACCACAAAGCAGAGAAATTAAAACTGCAGTTAACAGTTTGCTTGGCAGGAGTACGACACATAAATTGAAAAAAGCTTCTCTGCCGTCAAATACAACGTATTTAACCAAAAACAATGGCCAAGGCAACAAGCAAATCTGGTTTTGCTTCAGATTAATGTTAACACTAGCCTCCGCATTGTGCTTACAAAATACAAGGTGGTCAATATTTTGAATCACAAGCTACCAGTTTGTCCTGACCCAGTAGAAAAACACATTTTTTTCTTTTTACCTTTTTTTTAGCAATTTACAGTTACAAATCTAGTTGAATAACTGCACAGTTTACCAGTGGTTTACCTTCCTTCAATATAACTGTGCTGTGATGAAACCATACAGATTTTCAACCAATAAAGCCACTGGCAAAAATGTTGTGCTTAAAGAGTCTGAGAATGGTTACCATTTTAATTTCAAAAGCAAAACCAGCAAAACCCCCTGCATTCTCTCCCCTTCTCACCTAAATGAAACAAATACCCTTTTCTCTTGTATCTCCAACCCATGAGTATGCAGATCCTCATGTTTCAACTGTTATTCCCTTGACAGTGGTGTTCTCAGGGCTACTGACCATGACCATCCCACTGTTAGAACAAAGGAAGCAAAACCTTCATACTTATATCATATTTCTCTCATTTCTATAGATACACTAGCCAATAATTACTTCAGTGGAATTACAATTCCAATTAAATACTACTACAGAATTTGAAATTACTTTAATAAAGTTAAAGCCATGGGCTCAAAGATAAATTTAGAAGAAAAGGGATGTATGGTAGATCTTTCTTTTTTCATTATCCAAAAATATTACTTTCTCTTCCTTTTATCTCCTCAGGCAAACAACATTATATTTTGAAATATTTTACTTTACAGAATTTCAAAAAAAAAGATAATATGCTCCCAATGGTCAAAAAAAAAATCATATTTAAATCTATAATTTCTTTAAAACACATGCACACACTGTTCTTCTCTCATCTATCAAAATGCATAAGCAATTCTAACAAAGTAGTAAGGATTAACTTAAAGCAAGACAGGTGTAACTCTCACACAGAGATATTTCTTAAATTCTTATAGTTGCTTTCCACTGGCCTCTCCTATATACAGTTCTTCCTCTCTTGATAACTTCCCTTTTGAGATATTCTTCTTTTTGTTAACCATACCATATATTTGGTATTGTTGAAAGATGGGGTTAACATCCCTGAAGGCAGCAAAATTAGGAAACAATGTACCAGTTAACTTCCTCTACTTTTGAGAGCATAATATTCTTCAGCTTTTACTGACGCAAGAATGTCTAGGTCAGCACTAAGTATGGAGAATAAACAGACAGTAAGTAGAACCATATTATTCATCTATGCAGAATGTTAACGTATCTCTTCTAATAGCCACACAAGTTGTAGACAAAACCCACTGATCAATCCCCTCTATAAAATAATTCTTACCTAAACCAGCCACTG